CCTCTGGTAATCACCATTCTGTTGTCTGTCTATAAGTTTTTGGGGTTTTTTTTCTTCTTAATCCCTTCATTTCTTTCACCCAGCCCCCTAACCCACCTCTCCTCTAACAGCAGTCAGTCTATGCTCTGTGTCTATGAGTTTGCTAACACACATTTCTTATTTAAAAACAAAACAAACCTCTTTAAAAGCAGGAATGTAAGGATGCTTCTTTAAAATGACATGAACATCTACCTGGAACCCACAGCAAATACGAATAATGGCAAAACTCCAGAGGTTTTCCCAATAAAATCAGAAATAAAACATAAATTTCTGTGAAATATCTCTGGGCACCCTGGGTCAATTCACTGAGACACAGAACAAAAAATAAGCACTGGAAAAGAGGAGATGAAATAATACCTTTTTAGTTTGTAACTAGAACAATCAAAAGAGTCAATGCAAAGCTGTTGGAGTTAACCAGAGAGTTCACTTGCTGAATATAAGGTGACTGTATCAAAATTGATATATTTACATACAAAATAACATTTAAAAGATAATGAAATTAAATAATCATAAGATTTAATTCCTAAGAGCAATAGCCAAACATAAATACACATAAACCCCCAAAACTAGAAATAACTTTAGTGAGCAATGTTCTAAATATATATAAATAAAATCACACCACCTTTAGAAATTTCAAATAAAACTTGACTAAGTAGAGCTGTATACCAAGTTCTTGACTGAAAAGACTAAATAGAGTATGTATGCCAATTCTTCTCAAATTAATTTAGAAATGTAATGCAATTCCAGTCTACATGACAATGTAAGTTTACCTTATAAATTTATCCTAAGGCTGGTTTTAGAGGATATAAACACTAGAATAGTAAATCACACATTTAAACCTCCTACAGTGAAGCTATGGCTGTGAAAACACAGTGATACCAATATAGAGGACAGGCTTTTCATGAGACGCTATTATACGATAAATGTTGTCACAAATTAATGTATAAGGGAAGAATGTTGAAATACTTCGTTATCCTCTTGAACCACAACTCAATTTAGACACCTCACAAGATACATTAAAATTAATTCCAGATAGTTTCATAAATTATGTTTAAAAATACTGACCCTAGACAAACTCAGTGTGGGGGGGGTGGATGAATACAGAGCAAATGGTGGAAGAATTTGAAAGAAAAATATTATTAGATTTGGCCACCTATAAGCAAAATTTATTTGTAAGTCAGAAATATCACAATGAAAGGTAAAAAATAAACAACTTTATCCCCAAAAGAAATGGGCACAGGATATAGCAAAAAATTGTCAATTCAACTCATAAATTTCTAACAAATATATGAAAACAGGAAAATATACCAAATACAGAAATAGCTTTATTCTCGAGTGTTAGGCGAGTTGTTAGTCATAAAAAATGGAAACAACCCAAATGTCAAACTATAGTTATTCAGAAACAATCTGTGTTATCTGTAATATAGTATTCTCTAGTAATTTCAGAGAAAGTTTATGAGGAGTTTTAATGACATAGAAAAATTCTTAGATAAAAAATGCAGCATGTGAAATAATTACAACTATTACCAGGAAAAAAGATCACCACAAATTGTTTACATCCTGCCCCCTACCCCGCCACCCCTCCAAACAAAAAGATAAGAGGGAAATACAGCAAGATGTCTTGGGTATTTGACTATGTAATTCGATATTATCTTTTTCTATGTTTCTGCATTGCCTTGAAATTTTCTGTCAATCTTTACTTCCAATGAGGAAACACATATATAACAGATGTCATAGCTGTTAAAGATACAAGGAATGCCACACTATAATATCTTAATTTTGGATGGGGAGAAGGATGCTGCAAGTAGCCCTGAGGTTCTCAATTCTATCAGCATATTTGATTCATAAGAAGCTTTTATTCTGACTCTAGAAACCCACCCCTGACAAATTAAGTCACAATGTCTGGGAAAGAGCCTAGGAATAGTTACTTTAAAGCTGGCCAAAGGGATTCTAATATGCAGCATGGCCTGAGAACTACTTAGGAGACCTCTTGAATCAGTGCTTCTTCAACCTTAAAGTGCAAATGAGTCACCTGAGAACCTTGTTAATACGTAGTCCCTGTAGACCTGGGGTGGAATTCAAGACTCTGCTTTTCTAACAAGCTCCCTGGTGATGCTGATGCTACTGATTCAGGGACCAAGTGCTGAACAGCAAGGCCTTCAATCTTACCAACTGCAGGCACAATCATTCATTCACATTTTATATCCTTTCATTATTGTAACCATGGCTGTGAGATAGGTGCTATTATTCCTCCCTATTTCACAAACAGGCAAGTGGGAGTTCAGAGGAGTGATACCCAAAATCTGATTGGCTTTGTGACTGCAACCAGCCCTTGCATCTCTCTGTGCTGCAGAGAGAAAACCAGTAAGTTGAGGCCTTACAAATAAATGCAGAAACATTCAGGTTAAATAACATTTAAGCCTACATACCCTCAAATAACTAAAAAACAAACATCAGAACGTGTTGATAGATGCTTAAAAGGCCAGACTTGACTCAAACTAAACAAGGTAAAGAGTAGCTAGAACATACATTTCTTAGAGAATGTCTCTCTGTACTGTTTATATTTTTGTATTATGGTAAAATATATATAACATAAAAGTTGCCATTTTAAACATTTTTAAGGATAGAATTCAGTGACATTACTTACAATGCAGCCATCACCACTATCTATATTCAATAGTTTTCATCACCCCAGACATAAATTCAGTACCCAGTAAGCAATAAATTCCCATTTTCCTTCCTCCCTGTCCTTGGTAAACTCCAATCTACTTGTATTTCTATGCACTTGTGTACATTAGATATTTCATACAAGTGGAATCACAGAATATTTGTCTTCTTCTGTCTGGCTTATTTCACTTAGCATAATATTTTCAAGGCTTGTCTACATTATACCACGTGTCAAAATTTCATTTCTTTCTATGCCTAAAGAATATTTGCCTGTTTCATATATACATCACATTTTGTTTTTCCATTCATCTGTTGATGGATATTAGGGTTGTTTCCACTTTTTGGCTATTATGAATAATGCTGCAGTGAATAATGGCACATTAGTATCTATCTGAGTCTTCATTTTGAATTCTTTTGGAAATATACCTAAAGTGTAATTGCTGGGTCATATGGCAATTCTATGTTTAACTTCATGAAAAACTACCAAACTGATTTCCATGGTTGCTGCACCATTTTACATTCTCATCAGCAAAGCTTCAAATTTTCTACATCCTCACCAACATTAGTTATTTTCTAAATAAAAATATTACAGCCATCTTCTAGGTATGAGATGGCCTCTCATTATGGTGTGTATTTACACGGCCCTGACAGCTAACCATGTGGAACATCTCTTCATGTGCTTATTGGACACTTGGTTATTTTTTAAATTTTTTAAATTTCTCAATGTTTTCAATCCTCATCCAAGGATATGTTAACTGATTTTAGAGGGAGAAGGAGGGAGAGACAGATGAAGAGAGAATGAGCAAGAGAGAGAACCATGGATGTGAGAGAGAAACATCGATCTGTTGCCTCCTCTGCTCACCACAACCAGGGATCAAACTTGCAACCTAGGTATGTGCCCTAAGCAGGAATCGAACCCACAGCCTTTTGGTTTATGGGATGATGCTCCAAACAACTAGCCACCTGGCCAGGGCCATATTGCTCCTCTAGAGAAATGTTTAGGTTTAAGTCCTTTACCCTTCTGAAAATTAGGTTGATTGTCCTTTTGTTGTGGTGGGTAGGAGTTTTTTATATATTCTCCATATTAAATCCTTATCAGATATATGATGTAAATAATTTCTCCCACTCTCTAGGTTGTCTTTTCACTTTCTTAATAGTCTTCAGTATTTTCCCCAATTATGAAATAAATACATGCTTGGTTAGAAACTTTGGAAAGTATTAAACAATGAGTTCCAAAAAGTACAAAGAATCAAAAAAAAGGCACTCACAGTTTCACCTGAAAGTTAACTATGTTTCATATTTTGGCATATTTTTTCATCACTTAAAAATTTTTCACAGTTTATTTGAGCCAAACTAATAACTGATGGGGAACAAGATCTCAAATGCGCCCTGCATCACTTTTCATCTTTACATTTACTTTATATATTTAAATCAATCTGTATGTATAGTGTTGAATTCTATTACTTTGTGTGTGTTTCCCTTAACATACTACAACCATTTACTAAGTCACTAAAAATCTGTAAACATAATTTTAACAGTTGCACATATTCTACTGTATGGATACACAGTAATTTATTTAAACAGTCCCTAAGGTTGAAAAAAGTTATTTCCAAAATTTTTCTATTACTAATAATACGGAAATGAGCATCTTACTGTCTGGATTTCTCATTTTCTTCCCATATAATCAAATTTTTACAAGTAGAATAATAGACTGCAGGGTTTGCAGCAATCCCTTGCTTAAAGCAGAGTCTTCTGCTAAAATGCAAATATTCCTGGGAAGGTCATCATGCCTTAGTCATCTGAACAGGCACTAACCACTCTTTGAACATAATTTTGGATCTGATAGCAAGGTATAATCCTAAAAAGTGATAGAGATTCAGGATGTGTTTACTAATGGTAAAGGAAGGTGGGAGAAGGTAAGAACAGGAGCAGAGACAATTCTGAAGTCAGGGATTACCCTGCATAGAGCTCAGGAGGACTTGAAGAGCATTGAGCACAGAGGGCAGAGGGGACGACAAAAAACTGTGACCACAGGAATAGACGAACTTGGCGTGGCATCGTTTTGTCTGAGGCCCTGGTTGTATCTGTAAATGCTTTTTTGCAGGATGTACGAATTTTTTAACTAGGTAGGTAGGCAGCTTTACTGGTGACAATGTGAACGTGACTGTGAATTCACAAGTGTCATCTGAAATTCTAGTGACCAAGTCTTCCTATATGGCTGAGTATTCCCACTCCTGTAAAAATACTGAACACCAAATGCTAATAACTTTATGATTAAATTTTGGCCTACTTACCCCATTCAGAAGGAACTTGCAGTCTGGAGTTAAGAATAGAAAATTCTCCTTAGAACAATTAGTTTGCTTAATTGAGTAAGTAACTTCATACTTCCATCCAGCCACCACCTGAAACCATTTTGAATTGAATAGTTAAAGGGAAGTTTAATCATTATTCACAGCGTTATGAGGAGCTTAGAATAGTGATGAGCATATCACAAATACACAAGAGGATAAACTATTATTAATAGGTAAAAATCATGACTGAATAAATATTAAGCACTTGAATACCCTTCAAAACACACACACGTGCACACACGAACACTACTACACATCTGAAAACGACAAACAATATATAGCCAGAGGAGCATATTTCTTTAAGTAAGTCCTAGCAATATTTTCTCTGCTAGGTAGCAGAAAAATAATGTCCTACAGAATTTTATGAAATACTAATAATGCTCTTGTAGATGGTTAAAGAAAACTCTGGAGAGTCAGTGGAATGTACTGGTAGGTTTTCATGTTCCTAGACTGTCAGGCAATCAGTTCTCCTCTGCTTTATCCAGGACTAGTTATACCCAGATAGCTGGATATAAATATATTTGAGTAGAAAATGCATCTTACATGAAGGCAGGTTGGAAGTTCTATTAAAAGCAGGAAATGTTACTGACCAAAGTGAGTCCCTCATAATTACACACTGAAATACGCGGGATCCAGAAAAACTTAGTGAACAGAGTCAATGAAAACCAGATTTACAAGTATGTGCTTTTTTCCCCGATAATATGAAAACTATACTTTAAAGGCTACTCAGAAATCTGTGCCACCCTTTTTGGGCACCATTTAATATTTTGGAGCCATGTTTGACTCATATAGTGAGGTGATGATGCAGTTTTCTTAAAGCCTTAAGGACGTCTTGGTGGGTGTGTTGTTTAGTTCGTTGGGCTTGGCCCTGCAAACTGAAAGGTCATGGGTTTGATTCCTGGTCAGGGCACATACCTGGGTTGTGGGTTCAGCCCCTTGTCAGGGTGCATGGGAGAGGCATGTACTTGATATTTCTCTCTCACATCGAGGTTTCTATACTTCTCTCTTTCGCTCTCTCCTCTCCCCTCTCACTACCATCAATAAGAATGTCCTCAGGTGAGGAAATAATTAATTAATCCATTAAATACTTTTTAAAAAAGAATCCCTTAGGGTCACAAAGACCTTTTCATTCTACCATCTCTATGAAGAACATGTAATGCTAACCACCCACTTATGGAAAGCAATCTCAGAGCAAGGGGTCTCCCTAGCCCAACTTTTCCCCTTTCCTACTGCAGTGTCCGAATCACTTTGGTTATAGAGGAAGCTCTTTCTTTGCCTCCTCTGTTCCCTCACTACCAGTCATGGAATCACAGGATTTCTTTTGACCAATGGTATATTTTAGCAAATGAAACCTTAAGCATAAATTCCCAACAAATTTTAACAATTCTGTGCAAAATAAAAACTGAAAGAACAAACCTGTCTGTGGGCCCGTTTTACTTCTTTCAGGGCAAAGAGGTGGGAATGGTGAGAGTGGTTGTTATAATGTTGAATGGCGTGTCTCAGGACAGGTTCCAAGCCCGGGCTGGCAGTTGAGAGGGGGTGCACACAGCCAAGGCAGTCATACTGGGATGTCACCACAGGGCCCTTGGCTGCACAGAGAAAGAACAGGCCAAAGGGCAGCCTTAATGAGCAAAATCCACATTGAGATACATTACCCTAAATAAGTTAGATAAGTTCAATGGCCCTAGTAAACAAACTCTCTTCGTTATTGGTTTTGTTTTTATTTTTAGACAGAGGGGAAGAAAGGGACAGAAACAATATGTGGTTGCCTCCCATGACACCCCAGCTGGGAACCTGGACAGCAACCCAGGCCTGTGCCCAGACTGAAAATTGAACCAGAGACCCTTAGGTTCCCAGACTGGCATTCAATCTGTTGAGCCACACCAACCACAGCTCAACAAACTTTCTAATGAATTCTAGTGTATATTAGAAAAAGAGAATATAAGCTCACTTTTCACTCAGTCAGAGGAAAGAACCTGTCATTGACTTAGGAACATCTTATATGCACACTATTGTGCATAAGTGTTTTAAATATATTTAAAAGTCATTGTAGCCCCCCCCGCCCCCCGGCTAGTGTGGCTCAGTGGACTGAGCACCCGACTGTGAAGCAAAGGGTCACTAGTTCAATTCCCAATCAGGGCACATGCCTAGGTATCAGGCCAGGTCCCCAGGAGGGGGCAAGTGAGAGGCAACCACACATTGATGTTTCCTCTCTTTCTCCTTCCTTTCTCCTTCTCTAAAACTGAATAAAGTAAAACAAAAATAAAAGTTATTATAAATTATAGAATACATGAATTTATCCACTTATAAAATGTAAAACTTTAAACATATTATTTATTTTCCAGTGTTAATTAAAGCTCCTTGAAGCCTGTTGCAGGGTGGAATATGTCCTGTGTCAATTCAATTCAAGAACCACGTCCACATTTTGCACCTCTTGTCACGTGCCAGGCACTGAGATAGACTACACAGATGCATACATTTGTTAGTAATTGTCACTGGGGTGAAGGAGTTGGGCAAAGTTGAGTGGGAGAGACAGAACTGTAGAAGCATATTCCATTATACTTTGGCAAGAGCTTGGAAAGACAGTGGCCCAGAGTGAATTCAGGACAGACTTTCCCAAGGAGGAAAGGCTTGAGTAACAAAGGGTGAAAAGCAGACAAGGCCAATTGGGCACCTGAGAAGAAGGTACAAGTGGCTCCCAAGAAAGCAGCATGAGTCAGTCAGGGGCAGCTGTGTAGGACGGGGTGTCTACACATTTACCAGAGCTTAAAGCAGGAAGCAGGCAGTGGTGACTGAGGGGTCAACGGTTGGTAGAGAGAGCCCTCTGCTGCTGAGCATGGGCCTCACTCTGGAGGCCAGGGGTTACACCCTGTTCCAAGGGTAATGGGCTCCTTGGTGCACCTGATGAAAACCATGGCACCCTCTCCAGGGAAATGCAGGTACTCACAGTGTTCTCCACATTATTTCAGGGTATACAGAGACCCACTGATGTGAATGAAGAATGGTCTGCAGTAACAGTGGGTGCCACTGAAGGGTTTTTTAATAAAATTATAAATATTAAAACAGGACTGAGTTTGTGTTAAGTTACCAAGTTATGTTTATAACAGAGAGCCCTAACCCACTGGTGCACAAGCCATAGAGAGGGGAAAATCGTGAAGGCATCCTGAGCCTCTTCACCTGGGAACTATGGCTGCCTGAGTGTATTCCAGCCAAAGAGAATCAGGAGGCCAGCAGCGCTCTACAACACTGCCCCTCAGTTGGCAGCAGGTCAACACAGCACCCTCTGCCACTGTCTCTTGGCTTTTACTCCACAAGTCAGCTTTCCTCACTGATCCCCTTGCAGAAGCTATGTAGCATCAGGGTAGTGGGCAATGTTAAAAAAAACTGGAGGGGAATTGCAGGGGAAAGGCAAAAGAATTGCTGAGAGGAGAACAAAAGACTGAGAATCATGGGAGATGAAAGGAAGATGGAGAAGGGAGGTAAAGGGAGATGGAGAAGAGAAGAGAGGCTGGTTTGCTGACCTCAAGGGCAGCTCCAACTGGGGTCAGAGAAATGATGGAGCTGCCTTTTGAGGGTGAGAAGAGTAGGCTCAAATTCAGTTTTTCTGGGTGACAGAATGCCCCTACATTTTCAGGGGAACTTTTAAAAATTAAAATAAAGATTTTAAGTTTCCAAGTCAAAATATATTCAGCCAAAAAGTTTTTAGATAAGGAATTGTGGATCTAGTATAATTGTGGGCCTAAAAGTTTGGCAAAGAGCTTTTTCCCTCATAGTATATAAGGACTGCGCTCTGGAGAATGTGAACATTTGCTTTTGAGCTAGAGTTCTTCAACTGAGTAATAAAAAACTACTCCAAAAATTGTTCACTTGCTTGTGATGTCTTTTCTGTTTGGACTGTATTTCTTGGAATGCCACTTCTTGCAAGAACTGAAGCTCAAGGGATATAGTTTTGTGGGTTCCACATGGATGAGGAAGCCAGGACAGAATAACTGCCCCTCCACCAGCAGCCAAGAGTGATGCTGGTGATGCTGCTCAGGAGCCTCATATGCTGAAACCCTCTCTTGCAGGAGGCTGGTTCTGAGTTTGCTTCTGTGGTTGGCATTACCTAGATGTGCCCATTCTTCTGCTCCCAGGCACTCTGCCACCATCCTACAAGGTCTGTATACTGCCTCTGCTAAGTGCTAGCTGTGGCATCTTGGGCAAGACACTTTACTGTGGTTGGCCTCAGTTTCCTCATCTGCAAAATGAGAATATTTACACTTGCCTCATAGAATGTGGGTGAGGATTAAATAAGTCAACATGTGAAGTGATTAGAACTGTGACTGGCAATAAGTGCTCAATAAATATCAGCTATTATTACTCTTATTCTGATTTCCTCAATGCATTATTATGATTGTACCTGCAAGCCTGTCCTCTAGTTCAATCTCCAGCAATATCCTGTAGCAATCCCCTTTCATAGGTAAGGAGGAGGGAGACTAGAAAGGTTAAGAGCTTTTACATGAATTCAGGCCAGATTGGACCTCAAAGCCTGGCTCTTCTCATGCTATCATGCCACCTACAATCAATGACAAGTGGTATGTTTTCTAGTACTTTCCCAGGGTTCTTGCACAGGCGTCATACATACAGCACTGCTCTTCAGGAAGAGGGTCAGGTTAGTACTGAGGAGATGACTGGCAGGAACTCAGGACTCTGCCACCCCCAGTCCCTAAACCCCCACCAATGCTGCATGCAAATGGCATTGCTGCAGCCACTCTGCTTCCTTGGAAAGGGCCTTTGTCTAGATTCTGCTCCTGGCCTCACAGGGAAATGGTTCATTCCCCCAGGGCAGGCCCACTGGATATGTCAGCTACCTGGAGTGATCTGGCAGGTCTGGGTAGCCACAGACAGATTATTTGCTCTTTCCCCCACAATTGCAGTGCATTCTCCTGTGGCCTAAAGAGAGGGAAAAAAGAGAGAGAGAGAGAAACCATTTCTGTTAATCTTTCAATGGAGAAGTGCACCTAGTACTGTTGCTCAGTATGGATTTCCTTTATCTAACTTGTCAAGCTTTTTTTCTAACAGAGTTTGGAGACACAAGAATTGTAGGGGACCCATTTGTTTTGGTCTAGCAAATGTGACTCAGCTCTGCATGGAAAACCTACAGAAGTGAGGTGGTGGGCAGGAGGCAGACCTTCAAACCGAGTTCTCCCACGGGATTCAGATCTAGAAAATGCATACTGGCTGCTATGGCCTGCTCTTGCTGAAACCCTATCACTCTGTCCAAAAACAACAAATGTGTATTATCTATCTTCAAAGCCTGTGTGAATTTTCCCAAGGACAGAGCTAATCAGCTCACCACCTCTCCCTTCTGCATATGTCATTTTCATTTCCTTGATTGTACCTAAAATGTAGACAATAATATTCTATGTAATAAATTATAAATCCTCCTTTGATGTAAAACCTGAGAAAAGTCTGTCTAGGTAAGGGTCAGGGCACTCTCCCCTTGAAAGAGTAGCCACGCTGTTCCCTTTTTCTCCACAGGATTGCTGTTTCCTGTGCATTTATTCTCATCTTTCAGTCACAAACAGGCAGATTCTGCTGGCTGGAGTCCACCACAAAAGTGAATGTTTTTGTAGCCCAATTAAAATTATTTACAAGACACTGATATTCATGAGGCATCGAGAGGAAAGGCAGTATAAATGGGAAGGTTTTAGGTAGCTTTATGTTTGGAGCTCTGGGGATACTTCTCTTTCACCAGGATGAGCATGATGCCCTGGAATCAGCTGGCTCTACTCTCCTCTTAACTTACTTTTCAACTTCACATTCGAGTGCACACAGCGTACAGGTATTTTGCCATTAAAGTGGTGAGTCCATGCACTGTGGAAAGAGTGGCTTGCTTCCAGGCAGATACTGTCTGCAGCCTCCCTCACTTAAGGCCAAACGACCAGCTGTGATGTGACACACAGATGCTAGACACTTGGATAAGATTGCCATTGTTATTAAAATAAGGCCCTTTCATAGTGGATTTCCTTTCAACCTTCCACAGACAGGTGAGGTCAATTTTACCTCCACTTTACAAGGGATCCCATGGGTTCAGAGCCAGTTGGAGGCAGATCAGGATGCAAACTCAGGTCTGTGCAAATTAAGCACCCACAGTATCCCCTACAAGCCTTTGATCTCAGCCCAAATATCAATCTATTCACCCTCTGGGACCTGGCCCATGTGTCCCAATTGATCATTAGAGTCCCCTCCTCATGGGAGGGCTTTCTCCACATTTAATGGCTGGCCTCTTTGTGCCTTTTCTGTCTAGGCAAGAACACAGACCTTGAGCATTTGACTTTTCTAGACATTAGAGGGTTTGTGTGCACCCCCCACAAACAGGCTCACAATATTTGTCATCCCCAGCACTGGTGAAATAAATGATCATAGTCCCCTTGGAGAAAACTGGAGGTTCCAGAGCATCCCACTTACAGCCTGCTTGGCTTCTTTGTAGTCACAGTCCTGCCACGTTTTGTCACTTTGAACAGGACAGTCTCCCTCCTTGATCTGGTACTTGATGGAATAGAATGTTTCCTGGTCATCCTGAAAAAAGGCAATGAGAGATAATCAGGCTTCATCCAACTGATGCAATCGCCAAATATTTGAGTGGCCACTAGTACATTTGTATATAGTTGATATGATGTGATTAAATAAGATCTAAACATTTATTTTAAATATTGAAAGTTATAAATACTCAGAAGACTGTTCATAATATATTTATAAATATATATTTTTTAAGTCACAAAGTAGTATTCTTAGACTTGGCCTATTTTTTAGGTGTTATATATATTTTTATTTCATATATGAGGAGAAAAGAGGTATAGATAATAACTTGTTTAAATTCTTTTTTAAAAATTCAAATAGTATTTTGTCAATTATTAACTAAATTCTTGAATGTGGTAAAGGGTGCATACAGAATTCAAATTCAGGAAAGCTTTGAAGTCCATAGTTTTTAAATTATATTAAACTGTTCCAGGTTCCTTACAAATCATATTTCAAACATTAGGCATTTGCGGCTTGCAAAAGAATATAGGCTGCCTTTCATGGAATGATCCAAAATTTCTCAGAGCCTCTCTGACCGTCAAAAGGTGGATACCCTGTATAATGGCCTGAAATGTATGCAGCTGGGTTGCCCAGTAGTCATTTTATTATTTAATAATTAATTAATTATTAAAATATATTTTATTTATTATGCTATTACAGTTATCCCCTTCCCCCCTTTATTCCCCTCCCCCTCTGTACCTCCTCCTACCCCTATTTCCCCCTTTAGTTCATGTTCATGGGTCATATATATAAATTCCTTGGCTTCTACATTTCCTATACTATTCCTAATCTACTCCTTTCTGTCTTCTATCTACCATTTATGCTATCAATTCTCTGTACCTTTCCCCTCTCTCTCCTTCTCCCATTCCCCTGCTGATAACCCTCCATGTGATCTCCATGTCTATGATTCTGTTTCTGTTCTAGTTGTTTGCTTAGTTTGTTTATGTTTTTGTTTTAAGTTCAGTTGTTAATAACTATGAGTTTGCTGTTATTTTAACCTTTATATTTTTGGTGTTCTTTTTCTTAGATAAGTCCTTTTTAACATTTCATATAATAAAAGCTTGGTGATGATGAACTCCTTTAATTTGAACTCATCTGAGAAGCACTTTATCCGTGATTCCATTCTAAATGAGATCTTTGCTGGATAGAGTAATCTTGGATATAGGCCCTTGACTTTCATGACTTCCAATATTTCTTTCCAGTACCTTCTTGCCTACAATGTCTCTTTTGAGAAATCACCTGACAGTCTTAAGGGCACTCCTTTGTAGGTAACTGTCTCCTTTTCTCTTATTTCTTTTAAGATCCTCTCCTTCTCTTTGATCTTGGCTAATGCACTTTTGGTGTGCCTTGGTATGTTCCCCCTTGAGTCCAACTTCTTTGGGCCTCTCTGAGCTTCCTGAATTTCCTGAAAGTCTATTTCCTTTGCCAGATTGGGAAAGTTCTTCTTTATTATTTTTTCAAATAACTTTGCCATTTGTTGCTCTTCCTCTCCTTCTGGTACCCCTATAATTAAGATGTTGGAACATTTAAAGATGTCCTGGAGGTTCCTAAGCTTCTTCTCATTTTTTTGAATTCTTGTTTCTTCATTCTTTTCTGATCGATGTTTCTTTCTTCTGTTTCACACCACTGACTAGAGTCCCAGTTTCTTTCCCATCACTATTGGTTCCTTGTACATTTTCTTCTATTTCACTTAGCATAGCCTTCATTTTTCATCTAATTTGTGATGTAATTCAACCAGTTATGTGAGCATCCTGATTACCAGTGTTTTGAACTATGCATCTGATAGGTTGGCTACCTCTTTGTTGTTTAGTTATATTTTTTCTAGACCTTGGATCTGTTTTGGGGGGGTGGCATTTTTTTTGTCTTGATGCACCTTCAACATATAAGGACTAGAGCATTTGATGTTCACCAGAACCAGGAAACCCAGGTCACAGCAGTGTGATGCTGTATGTGGGGCAGGAGTCCAGAAGGGAACAATGGTGCTTGCTCCACTCTCTGACAGATTTTAGTCACTTCCTCTGCTTCCTACAAGCAAATTATGCCCTTCTGGTGCTGATTTCCAGGGAGTGAGCTTGTCTATGTTCTAGAACCCTGTGCATTTTTCCAATAAACTCTCCTATGAGGCTGGGAGTTTCTCCTGCTTGTGGCTCAACCCCCACATGTGTTTTCAATCAGTGGTGTGAGGCTTTATTTCCCTGCTCTGGGATCCTGCATTGTGCAGTTAGTCCCACTCCCCCTTTCTTTCACCTGGTTTATCTGCACAAGAATGTGGGACTGCCCAGTCCTCTACTGTTGCCTTGCTGTGAGTCCTCTCTACCTGGCTGCCCATCTCTGCCCCTCCTACTGGTCTGGATGAATATGTCTTCTTTAACTCCTTATTTGTTGGACTTCCATACAGTTCAATTTTCTGTCAGTTCTGTTTGTTTTTTGTTTTTAAATTGTTGTTGTCCGTCTTTTGGTTGTGCAAGGAAGCACAGTGTGTATTCCTATGCTTCAGTCTTGGCCAGAAGTTCTTGACTGAGTATTTGTTTAAAACAAAAATATATTACTTCTACAATAAAAAAATTGAGGACTTTTTAAATTTTGAAAACAATGTTAACAGATATCTCTGAATAGTGGGATTAGTTATGATAATTTTAATATTTTCATTTGCTCAGTTTTGTTTTCTATTGTTTCTAGAATATCACAAAAGAATAAGTTAAACTTCTAAAGTTCAAGGGGTCTGAGTTAAATGAGCTTTCACATATAAGGTCCAGGCATGTTGCAGCAGCAAGGGACCTGAGAGGAGATGTTGTCCAGTCCCTTGCTTTGCAGGTGAAAAGAAAGAGGCCCCAGTTGATAGGCCACAATAGTTCACACAGCCTCCCACCTTGGAAAGGCCCAGCCAGCCCAGGTCCCAAGCCTCCTGAGTCCCAGGGCAGCCCTCTCTCTGAGCCTGCCTGCCTCAGAGTATTGGCATCTGGGAGATGATGGAGGCAAACACGGTCAACTCTGAGGTTCCTTCAGGTCTCACATTTCGATGAAGGAATAGGTGGTAGTGGTATGCATAGCAAGGTAAAGAGTGACTCTATGGACATTTGAGAACAAAAGGACACATTTGTTACAGATGTCAGCCAATGAAGACGACACCATTAAATGTTGCTGAGGGCACTAGGCCTCACATGATTACACTAGTTTGTAAATGGAATGGCTCAATTTCATTTTCAGAAAAAGAAAAAATGCCCACTGAGCTTTTTTCTTTCATCTTATCACATCAAATGGCTGAATTTTTTCCTTCCACCATAGTGAACTATCACAAAGACAAGGTGAAATTCATTTAAACAAACTGCTAAAAGTTTGTTTTTTGTGTTTTTAACTTTGATTTTTTTCAAAACTAATTTGCTTTCTTTTGCATGCCATGAAACAGATTTCTAGTCTCAAAATAGGATGCATCAAGAACAGAAATATCCTCCTTCCATACCATCTTCATATTCACCAACACAAGAAATCCTTCTGGAATATAAGCAAGTGACTAAACAGGTATTGAACCACTGAATCTACAAATTAATACATAACCTTTTAGGGCACAATAAATAACAATTTGCCCCAAAGAAAGATTTTTAGCTTTCCAAATATAAAAACCTCAGAGGATCATATATAAACAAGCAAAGTCCTTTTATTCTAGATTTTATGGAAAAATGAATCATACACTGGCATCTGAGAAGGCTGAAACTCTTACTACTAAGTAGATCCAAATTGAGAATTTCTATGGTGCTTTAGAAAACAGAACCAGAATACCTTTATTTTTCATTTTTGTTATTCTCTTGCAGTTTTCGCAATTTTTCCTTCTTAGCCCTCCTCTACCCAGTCCACCCTTCCTGTCACACAGTCAATCCCCACATCATTGTCCGTGTCCATCAGTTATTCCTACATGTTCTTGACTAGTCCTTTTCCTTTCTTTCCACCGTTTTCCAGTCCCCTCTTCCTTGACAGTTGTCAGTCTGTTCCATGTTCCCATGTCTCTGTTTCTATTTTGTTCTTTAGTTTATTTCATTCATTAGAATTCTCTTATAGGTGATATCATTTGGTATTTGTCCTTCACCAGCTGGCTTATTTCACTTAGCATAATAGTCTCCAGAATTTTGTTTTTAAAAATGAGGATCCTGTGGAATGCCTCTACTTCATATTTACCTAATATTGTAACAGTAAAGCAGACACCAGCAGGTCAATGACAGCCCAACAATGCTGGATGCAGGACGTTTATACATAACACTTTTGTCTAAAAATCCAACAGGTTGATTGACAAAGTCCAGACAGCATGTCACATGATCCCATTTGGTGCCTCTTCTACCATGGTCCAAGATTTTAACATGGATACAGCCAAGGACTGGGCCCCAACTTGCAGCAAAAAGACCACAGAGAAAAATCAGGGTGTTTATTTGGTCCCCACATCACCTGTGTTGTGGAACTAGAAAACAGAAGGTGGAAAACACAGACTGCCAGGAGTTAAGGAGTTGGAAAAAGTTGGTGGAGAGTGGCCCAGTATATGAGTAAGATCTCTGGGCTTGTGATGGCAGGGGCACTGCAGAAGAGAGCACCCATGGGAACAAGTACTTATATGCCTGCTGTGTCACTCTCCCCATGACCTTGGCATATCTATATGTGATAATAAGTAGATGAGTTATGTGATAAGGCAGTGTGTTGAAATGCATCCATCCTATGGGATGAACCACCACAGGCAGAGGTATATGTTACCAGGCACATTCTTTAAGTTTTCTTGTTTTGGATTTGATTTGTTTGTCTTCAAGGCTATCCAGCCTAAGTGTTCCCAGGGATTTCTGGAAGAGAAGAGGGGTCTACTGAGACTGGTTTGCTTAATCTTTCTTTTTCTAAAAAAAGATTTTTTTTCAGAAACAGGAAGGTAGGGAGAAAGAGAGGGAGAGAAATGTTGGTGTGTGCTTGAAACATTAATTGGTTGTTTGTCACAAGCTCCCCAAATGGGGACTGGGCCCCCAACCCAGGGATGTGCAAGGATCAGAAATCCAACTGGTGATCTTTCTCCCTGGAGGACAACGCTGAACTAAATGAGCCAAGACTGTCGGGGCTTAATCTTTCCTCTCTCAAAAGATGATGATTGGCTTTAAGGAAAAACAAAGCTTAAGTTTGCTTAATTTTTAAGTTTTCATTTTAGTTACATTATTCTGAGTGTTTACATATAAAAAATCACACACTTCAGCATAAATCCACAATAGTTTATGATGCATCCAGGTGATGCATCCTCAGGAGGCACCAGATGTGTCCAGGAAACACTGTAGTTTATGGACTATTGATTTGTCTAGTGACAAAGGTCAAAGTCAAATGCATTACTAATATGAAAGTGTCCAGTGTTCTCTATGAGGGTCATGACTGCTATACAATGTTTTTTCTCCAGTGTCATTCACCTTCTGGAAAGCTCTACCAGTTCACCTAGGTATGCTTTGTCACGTTCACCATTCTTTACTTGCTTATCTGATTTGCTTGCTTTACTGGACTTTTCACTTTTAAAATCTGGTTCTTGTTGATTCTTACCAAGGGTGGAAGCAGTTCATGATGTAGAGGGAAGTAGCAGAACTGCTTTCACTGTTGCTGCCAACACTTTAGCTAACTCTTGAACTTGGGCTGTCTCTTCTATTTACTAGTCTCTCCATTATGGATGCATAATCATTATCCTCTGCCTCATCTTATTCCTCCCAATTTTTATCAGAATGCAGATCTTTCATGAAAGACCTAAAGGACTTTGCTGCCTCATCTGGGACTGTGTGAAGCTGGTCCTGGAATTGGACCTGGAGCTGGAACTGGAGTGGAGCTCACAGGATTGGGTTGTACAGAGTTGTGCTCCAGTGGAGGGAAGGTGTCCCAGAACAGACCAGAGCCACACAGGCATATACTGAGCCATGGAGGCCCTGGGAGAAGGTTCAAGGAACAACTGTCAAGCTTCCCCCGTCCCCCACACCCAGATGAGTCTTTGCCCATACTGCCCACAGACGCCACCCTACCAGGTCTGAAAGTTTGTATTTCTTGGAATCACATACCCTGTTGGGATTTATCTTGAGTGTATCAACCAGTGATTAAAACAATATTCAAAACCAAATAGAACATCACTATTATCCTTTATGTGTTCATCAATAGGGAATTTTTAGCAGATATTTTGTCAAAAGCAGCAGAACCACGTGAATCCCGTTTGTGACTCCTCTTAGACATACTTCACCACCCCTCATTACCCTAGCTTTATTGTAGTATATTTAACAAATAAATTTATATATTTAAGATGTAAAATGAGAAGATTTGAAATACCTACACACTGTGAAATCATTACCACAGCTATATTAATTAACACTTTATCAATTCACATAATTACATGTTTCATGTGTGTGGAGAAAACGCTTCAGTGCAGCCTTTGGGTAAATCTCAGGTACACAGCACAGTATTATCAGCTCTAACCAGCATGCTGTACAGCAGACCCCAAGGAGCAGTCACTCATGCTATGACTGAAAGTCTGTCCCCATGACCAACACCTGCCCACTCCATCCCCCACAGCTCCTGGCAACCACCTTTCTGTTTTCTGCTTTAGGGACTTTGAATTTTTTAATTTTATGTATAAGGACATTTATATAGTATTTGTTAAATGCACCCCCTGGTTCACCCCCTGCTCATTAGAAGTCTGGAGGTCTTTGTGTTTTAGTCTGAGTCTGGTCACCCAGGAAATCTTGCTAGGTCTGAGTTCAAAGATTGTCCAACACTGCATAGTCACTTTCAAGTGACTCCATCTACCTTTCTTTCATTTCACCCTAGGATACCCCTCCTCTGATCACCCAGGAAGCCAACCTTGGTGGCCGAGGACCAGTTGTACCCTGCCCTCCACCCCAGCCCAGAGCTCGGATTGGTCATTTGTAAACGCTATAAGCTCCTACCTTTGATCACCAATTCTGTGGTGATTGGTGTGTGTGCACATATATGTGTGTGTGTCTCAGGTTCCAAGTGACCACACAAATCCCAAATGACCTCAAAGCTGAACACAGCTCACTCACCGTCTTGTTGACTTCGGTTACGCGGTATAACACAAACTGGTTGCCACTTTTGCTTCCACTGTTATATTCCTTCAGAGCTGAGTCCACAGCCTTAAATACATCCTCATCATTGCAGTCGATTTCTTCCCAGTGGTACTTCTGGGTTAAACTCGGTAGCAGTCTGGAGCAAAGGAGAAGGATGGCAATGAGCTTCATGATTTAACAGTCTCCCTCTGGTAGTTTCACCAACACTTGGGAGCTGCTTTGGATGCTGATGGTGACTCTCTTCAGCCTCTTGTCTCCTGTGTCTGTGCTTTCTCTGTTTTAGCACCTCAGGGGCCTTCTGGGATCCCTGTTGCCACCCACTATTTGCCCTATTAGCAAAAGGTAAACAGCTCTGCTGGGTTATGCAAGCAGATCTCAGGTTGGTACATTATACAACACTGAGGTCAGTGACAACACATGCTTGTTTGTATTTGGGGATCACATGGGAGCACAGAGCAAATTTCCATGCACTTGCATAACTGTGATAGGAAATAACAGCAAAAACTAATAAAGGAGGAGAAAACAACACCAACCCATGGTATTCCCTTTTCCAAATCACTTTCCAAAGCCATTTATGAAGGTCACTACATGTGACAACACCTTTCAATAAGATGTGCAGACACCTTTCAATAAAATGTCTTTTTATACCTGGGAAGCCACACACAGGGACATAGCAAGGGCAGGAAATCTCACCCCAGAACATGGGTGCGGCTAAAAATAAAAATGGGTATCCCTATGGTCTCTGGCCAAACCAGCCCCTCTCCACTCAATCATATTATTTGTAGAAAGAAAAATGTTCCCCAGAATAGGGGGGGACAGAGGAGAAGCATAAGGATAGATGAGATGAGTGAAGCCCACTCACCCTGTCCTTCTTTCTCATTTCTGATTTGGTTGACCTAAGGGAGTCTTTCATTCACCAAAGCTAAGTAAACTTTCTGATGAAGTCAGATGATTCAGGGAGAGGAGTTCCAGGGCTAGCCCTTAGTAGATTCTTTCCCTCTTCCTCCACTAAAGATGTTTGAAGACTTTGTTGTTGTTGATAGGGTCTCTACTTTTGTCTCCTGAGAGCCCCTGAAAAGAGGGGTCAGTGGGGCTGAATGATGATGGCCTCGTAGCCAAGTGGCAGGTACATGAACTTGGCAGTAAGTCCAACCTTGATTCCAGTGCAGCTCTGCTACTTGATGACTGTTATTCTGAGCCCATCATGATCATATAGCCTTTCTGAGCCTCAGCTTCCTCATTTGGGAAAAATAAAAATTTTTCATGCCTAACGAGTTTTGTTTGAGGAGTAAATGAGATACCATCTGTGCAGGGCCTGGTAATTAGTTCTTATAAATTGTGTCCAATATTAGAGTGGGATGGTTAAAGATTTCTGAGTTATAGAAGCAGATTCAGGTGTGTGGTGATGGCAGAAGATAGATTTTAGTGTGTGTTTGGGGGAAATGGGGGGTGTAGGAAATAAAACTAAAGGTGAAAGAGAATTGGTTATGTTCTTAGTCTGGGAAGACAGAGGAACCCCAAGGACAGAGAAGCTGAGAGTGAGGAGATGACTGATGTGCTCAGTCAGGATGAGCTGGGAAGGGGCACAGGCTGGTCACAGTGGGTGTTTCAAGTGGAGACTCAGAAACAGAAAATGGCAGTAATACAGGCAGCAAAATAAACAGCACAGCACTTGAGTCTGGAGGCGCATCTGGTTCTAATTCCAGACCCACACTTTACTGACCATAACAGACATTAAACGTTCATACACTTTTTAGCTATCATGCAGAAAAAATCTAGACAAAGCAGCAATCAATGGTATCCTGTCTAATCCTCTAGCACAATGTAAGCTCCCTAGAGTAGGGATGGTTTTTCACCCCATTATTCACTTGCAGGAATGTGATTTGCATATTAGAGATGCATTTCAATGAAATAAATTGAGAAAGTTCAAGCCTAGGGTATCCAGGTAATATTTTCAGTAACTCAAGCAATATTTGTGAAAGTACTTTGTAAGTTAAAGAGCACTAGTCACACTCTTCTGTGAGTTATTAAACTATGTATTCTTTGTCTGGGGGTTCTTCCTGGATTTCCCCCATCTGTGCTTTCTACCCAAGCAGCCCACCCAGTGTTCACACCTGGTGAAGGAAGGGGGATTCTGCAGAGCCCACATTCAGCTGCTGCCACCCAGGCTGTTTATGGCTGGCAGCTGTTCTGACTGGTGGCTGCATCAGCTCTGTGGGTCAGTGCTGGTGTCATATTGGCTATTCAGTTATTTGGTATCATCATGTGGCTCCAGGAAGTGAAGTCTAGGGAGGAGCAGCAAATGGGCTGCCACCATCACCATGTTTTAGAGAAGGAAGGTGTGGCCCAAGTAGGTTTAATAACTTTCTTAGGACCCTAGAGTCCATTCATTGTAAGAGTGGGCTTAGAAACCAGGTGGGCCTTCTCCACAGTCACATCCTTTCTTGTTTATTACACTACCTGAATACACCGCCAAGCTCTGCTTTCTGTCCCGTTTTACTAAGAAATAGTTGACATACATCACTGTATATGTGTACAGCATGATGCTTTGATTTACATATGTTACTTTTTGTAATATTAGCCAGGGTTAGAACAACAAAAATACCATACTTACCAAATTTTCTTACCTATTTTGGTTTACAACATAATATTATTAAAAGGTATTCATACATTTACTATAATTATGGTAGTCAAATATAAGAATATTACATATGTTGCTTTAAAAAATAAAGGTTTTATATTATATTTATAGCATAATTCCTTATTTGGAATGCACCTACCTATAAATATTTGAAGAAAACATTTCTGGAAAGTTACAACCAAAATTTCAACAGTAGTTTCACTTATTCAGTGAGTTTCAATAGATTTCTTTGCTATTTTATGTTATTCTATATCTTCTAAATTTTTCACACTGGGCATTTAAGTGTATACTACAAAATAGTTTAGAAAAAGAGAATGATTAACAGTAAATTTTAACATTTAAATAAATATTTAAATGTGAATAGTCTCAATCTTAGTCCCATATTTGCCAGTCCTATGTTCTGGCTTTCATTTATTAATATTCACCTAGCACATATAACTACCATAGGGTTGTCTTGGGGTAGATAAGATTTCAGAACCAAGTATTACTGGATGTTCAAAATAGATTAAATGCAGGGAAGAGGTGTGTGCTCATTAATCATCAGGGCAACTCTGAGCAGGTCACTGCCTATGACTTTCTCCTTCTCTTGGTCCACCTGCTTCTCCCCTCAGTCTAGATGGCCACCAGTTAAGATGTTGCAAAACCCCAAATGTGGTGGTCAAATGGAGATTCTTCTAGAATAAAGGCTGAAGGATAAATAATTTAACAGGAGCATTTTTGCCAGCTGTTTAGATAATATTGTGGTTTCTAATCATCTAATTTATTATAGGTAGAGACACTGAAAGTTCTAGAAGAGTGGGTTGCTATCATATCTACTGGAATCCCTCAAGTCTTCCCCTAGGAAAAACTTGGGGAGATCTGGCCTATCCCACAGAGCACCAGTAAGGGCATGGGGAGAAATGGGGTGAAGTATGAGCACAGAACAGACTCAGAAAAGGCTTAGAAGTAGAAAATGGGAGAAGGGGTAAAAAGCCAGGAAGGGCTGCCTGCTTGAGATGCTGGGCCTAGACAACATGAGGAGTGTGGGTTGGGCTGACAAGAGGAATTTCTGCACTGAAAAGAAGCACAAATTGATGAAGCTGTGTGGTCTCAGAGCCAAGGTATGAAACATGGCGTGCCTTTGGTTTGAGAGTGAGAAGAGCTTGCTGATATTTAAAGAGTGAGGGGTAGGTGTTGGGTCACCAGAAACTTGTGAGTATTTTATCCAGCATAGGTCTAAGTGGAAATACTTCATGTTGTTGAGTAAAGTGAGAACTTATGCCTTTAACACTTATTTCACTTCATTTCAGTACCCAGTGCTAAGCATACAGTAAATGGCCAATGCTGGTGCTTGACTCAGTTATAGTTTGCCCTGAACATGCTCAGAACAGCACCAGACACAATGAGATATTTATTAAGGGTTGTTGTATTGAGATGCTGATCACCTCAGATTCAGAAATGCATGTTTTGGTAATGACTACATTGAAAATAATACCTCATCATAATGTGGTGCAATGAAGTTTCAAAGGTCTGAGTTGGAGTGCCAGCTCTCTAGCATATTAACTGCATGACCTTGAGTAGGGCACTGGGACCTAGAGTTTGTTTATTGTAGAAGGGTGATCATAGGACCTAGAGTGGCTGTCAGGACCAAGTCACACAGACAGAAATTGTCTAGCCGTGTCTAAAAGGGCTATAGTGGACATTCAGTAAGTGAGTTTTATTACAGAAATTGAAAACCTCAATCACTTTTGATTGTTTTGGATTTCTATTTTGTCTTTTATTTGGACCAGAGAGATCATTTTAAATTTTCTTTAAATTTTCTTGAGGTTAGGTATTTTTACTGATGAAAAGTTAGTGGACATAATATTAACACAGATTTTTTTCTATTTGGTAACTATCTAGATCATACAAAATAATAAAAGAAAATTACTATTTTTATTATATATTTTAATTTTATTTTTCGTGACCATTTCGCCATTTCGTCCCATTATACTCCCCTCTCCATCACAGTCACCACACTGTTGACCATATGCATGAGTCCTTTTTCTTTTTTGCTCAATCCCTCCACCCCTGCCCTCTCCCCTACCCTTAACTGTCACCCTGCTGTCTGTAACTCTTGTGTCAATTTTGCTTGTTAATTCGGATCATTCATTAGATTCCACATCTGAGTAAAATCATGTGTTATTTGTCTTTCTCTGAATGGCTTATTTCACTTAGCATAATATTCAACACAAATTACTTTTAACTTTGATTCATAAATCAGGAGAAGGAGGAAGGCAAGTGAGAGATTCCTTAGATTGCTGGTGGACTTTGCTCCAGGATGGGTGTGGCTAAAAACAGACTACTCTGAATTAACCAGGAGTCAGAACATCAAGATCAAACTTTATTTCATCCAGAAACAGAATGATAAAGTGGCATTCTTCTCAACTGCATTCTCTCCCACTTTCTTATCTTTCCATGCAAGGCTGCTGACAGGTTGGTTGTTGGGGCTATTGTGCCAGGCATGGACATTCTGCCCACTGGTCAAGAGACCTCACTCTGAGATGTTGGCTCTGCCTCAGGAGGTCAGCCCTTGTACTCGCAATGACTGAGTTGGTTCTGTAAGTATATTAAAATTCTGTTAATCTGATGTTATCATTCACTAAAAGAAAAGCACCACTTGACAAAATGAGACTTTTTCCTGGCATCACTGGTTCTTTATTGAAAAATACAGATAATATTGGAAGTGAAATAAAAACTCAGAGGCTCAAATCATTCCATGAGTTGAAGTGGCAGGGACACATGCATCCACAGGCAACTGTAGTTGATTAAAGCCAGATCTTGTTTCCCCAGGCAAAACACAGCAAGTATTTTAAAATATGTGCCTCCCTCACATTAAAGATATTAAACATAATAATACTGTACTTTTTTTTTGCCAAAATCAGTGCTTTCTACTGTTGTAGAAAGAAGATGATTCGATGGTAGAGTGTGGGTGGAGAGGCAACACCTGCCAAATTTTCTGAACAAACGTTGCATCACACATCTCATGGTGTTCCCCTGGCAATTACTAGGAATGATTCCCTTCACAAGCCTGCCTCTATCTTACCTCCTCTGCTTTCCCTCTTTTCATTCAATGCATAGCTGCTAAAAACTAAGGAGTATTCATACCAGCCTCAGCAACACATAAACACACAGAGAATTTCTAGTTGAAAACCATGTTGCAAAGAGTAGTTAACCAGGTAACAGAAATTACTGGCTTATGAGAAACACTCTCAGTCAGAAAGAGAATTATCAGAGTAACTTCGTCAAGTGGGAGTGACTCTTTGATATAACTAGGCCATTATGGAAACAGGAAGTCAATTAGTTTATATCAGCCTTTCTTCTTTGTTCCTCCTTGACTTCTAGTGCTTTTTATGATTATTTTTCTCGTATTCAGAAGTTCAGCATTCTGTCTCTTGACTTTACTTCACAGGTGTTCAGGGACCAGATGCCACAGTTTATTCAAAATGGTAAGAATCTTTGTATGAAGACCAATATCATTCTAATGTACACATTTGTTATTAGAAAAGTAAATTGCAGTAAGCCACAAGGCACATTTGGTTGCCCATTTTCTGTGCTAGTTAAGAAAACCTGTGGGGAAGACTCAGAAAGGGTTTAGAATGCTGCACACAGTTTCATGTTGTGCATAGGAACTGATGTGTCCCCATTGGGTGTCTCACCACTTCTCTCTAGGCTGTTCTGAAGCTTTATGGTTTTTGGTGCATTACAGTGGGGTATTTGGACAATGGGGAAAGGGGATGGTGAAGTGTTAAAGAAACCCCCATGGCTGCATACATTAATAAAGAGCACCAGAGAGATCAAAATCATGAAAGTCTGTTATTTCTACAGTTGGATTCACTCCACTAAGTGGCTTCCAGGGGCGTCCAGGACATTTTGGGGAGCTGGTTTCTGGAAAATCAGGTATCAGGTTAAATGAAAGGCTTTTTGGCTGTATGTGGATTTCAGGGATCCAAGCATCATCAGTCAGTGTGGGAGTTGGTGGTATATTATTAGTCATTGTGGCTGCAATGAGATCTAAGTCCTGAAAGTCAGAAAAGGTAACTACACCTGGCTGGGCTGGGGAAGGAAGGGGTGTTGACCTTCCTGTCTTTTCATGTGTTTGTGTGGATGTAGTACTGTCTTCAGAAGAACTTGCCCAATGCCTTGTTCCCATATCATTGTCCTTTCCATTATTTTTTCTTTTATTTTTATGTTTTGTATGGCTATTACCATGATCATGTTTATGTCCACGGGCTAGGCCATGTTCCTGCTGATGGCCATGGCCAAGACCATGCCTCCCTTGGTATTCAAGATTATAGTCATGTTCCCGTTGGTGTCCATGACCATTGACATGTTGTGGTTGATGTCCATGGCCAAGACCATGTCCCCTTTGGTGACCATGGCCTTGGTTATGCTCATGTTTATGGCGAAGGACAAGGCCAAGGCCATGTTTTATTTTCTTTTCACGGCCCCAGCCACGTTCCCGCATGTGTCCTTGTTCTTTTTCTGAATCCTGCTCTTCATCTTGTTCAGGTGCCATGAAAGTGTGGGGTGGACTTAAAGTTGTTACTTCCTTTGTTGGGTCCACTTGTAATACTGATCGAAAAGGTGAAAAACCTGGAGGTCTTCTCAGCACTAAGGCCTAAACAGAAAATATCAAGATGAAGGCATTATTATGAAGCCACACTGTCACTGAAGTAAAAAGACTCAGACCTGGCAATGCCCTCTTGGTTTACAATGCAGTAAGTCTTTAAATGCTATGTTAATATTGCAGAAAGGATGAGATTATATTTTTCTTTTCATTGACTTGATAATTTTTGGATATTGATCATTGTTTTTAATAATAGTTCATTAAGATGGAGAGTTTGTCCTTCCTTTGGAATAATTGGTTGCTTATATTCCAATAATTTGGAATATTCCTTTGGAATATTTGAACTACATAATCTCTAGGATTCCTTCTAGGCCTATGTTTAGGTAAACCCATGACACATTATTTGTTAATTGATACTATTTCTGTTAGCACCATTACTGCTTTTATTTTAAAAGACTCGAAATGGCTTTAAAAATGGAATAGACATGAAGCACATATTTACCATCGCCTTGTTGTCTGAAACACATTAGGACATGTTTACAAACTTCAAACACAGCCTTTGTATCATGTTTCTGTTAGACTGTACACATATCTATGCTTGGAGGAAACCTAAATCAGAAAAAAGGGATAAGAAGTAACTTGCATGGAAGATACAGATTACTTCTTCCTGCTCTTTCACTGCTAGCAGGAACTCGATGGCTGGAGGCAGCGTTCAGTGCTGCAGAGAGCATGTTTTTTAGAGTCAAACAAGCCAGACCCTAGTTATCAGCATCATGTGCACGTGGAGGCTCTGATTTGACCTAGACTTGCATCTCAGGGCCACTAGCTTCTCTTTTCTCCTCATCCCTAAGAAAGGAAGACCAACAACCCCTGCCTCATAGAGTTGTGAGGAGAAAAGTATGTGTGATGTCCTCAGGGCAGTGCCTGGGACAGAGGATGCACTTGACAATGGTATTTTTCACTCTAGGATCTCAGTAGCTTGCTAATGTCTAATGTCTCATTCTTGACAATGGGAAAAGAATTGCTTACCTCCCAAGTTTCTCTTAAGAACTACAAAAGATGATACAAATTAATACTTCTCACACTTGAACATGGGTATGCATCCCCTGGGGATCATGTTAAATGCAGATTTGGACTCAGTAGATGTGGAGCAGGGTCTGAGATGTGCACTTCTCTCAAGTTTCTTGGATGCAGGCAAATGCCACAGGAGCGTCTCTGGCACACCTTGAAGCTGCATAGCTAGTGTCAGCTCTCCTCAGCTGGGGCTGCACTTCACTAAGAGAGAGGCTGCTGAAGCATGGGGCCCTCACAGTGTGTGGGGAGTGATGAAAAGGACTGCTGTTTTCCTTTCTGGCCATAAAAGAGAGAGCTCAGCACAGAAATGCCAGATTTCTCCCCATTTTAACATTGTCCTCCAATATTTAAATAATGGTTCATTTTTAACCTCATAGAGAGCTTTTCTGAATATCAAAATTTAACCAAGCTGACTATAATTAGAACCATACCTTTTGTAGTGGTCGGCACTTGATAGTAGATTCAGTTTTGTTCAACCATAGTACCTCATAAACCTCAGCAGTGCAGCTTAGAATTTCCTATCCATGAAAAAAAAGTCAAAAGAGAGAACAGTGCTATTCATGAATCACTTAAACACATTTAAAACAACAAGTAGATATGCAGGGAATAGGTAGAGAGTTGCATTACTACCCACTCCAAGTAAATTGATCTCACAATCTTCAGTCAGCTCTTTATTACTCTCCTTGGAACATGTGGTTTCCTTGGCGGTGAACTCAATAGAATATTTCATTCCAGCCACCACCTGGAAAATAAATTAGCAGAACATAGCTGCTTAATTGATATTGTATAATAAAACATGTGTTTTTACCCTCAGGGATCTTAGGGAAATACTAAAATTTAAATTACACACTGACCATTTGAGAGTTATACATAAAGAGCACAAATGTCTGAAAACTAAACTTTTACTTTGCATGCATGTATAAAATATTTGGCTGTTGATTACTCTTGTTTCTTTCTCTACATGGGAAAAGAAAAAGCAGGCTATAATTTTTGTGTTTATATCTTTCTGAGTTTTATTGTTCAATAGCTAAAAATTTAATTAGTCATTCCAAAGCTCTAGTTGTAATTGAATCTATAAAGTATAAGATGAAAAACTTAAACATTTTCTTTAAGTCTGACTTACTGTCCTGCCAAATCTGGAATCAGAGAAATATTGAGTTAGTGTCACTAAAGAGATTATGTGGGTTAACTTATGTGACTAGAAAAGTTGTCCTGATTTTGCAGCTTATTTCTCTTAATTTTCTTTATATTAGGAAACCGTTTCAATCTGTAGCAATAGTTTTAATCATTATACAGTGCTGTTTCCACAATTGACATTTTGTCACCCTATTTATGTTTTTCTAGAATAGTCACATTTTATTTATTCAAAAAATTAAGCTCATGCTTTTTAAATTATTTCATTTCATTTCATTCAATTCTTTTAAACTCATGTTTTTAAAAGTACTTTGAGGTCAACAATATCACAAATATAGTTTTTAAAAAGTCATTTTAAAATGCCACATCTTATATCTCTTACAATGGACAAACATACTCAGTAAAAATGACTTTAAATTATGCACTAAAAAGTTAGTTGATATGGTCCACTTTTTAGACCAAGCTATTCAGTATTTAATTCTAGAATGAAATGTGTGTGTATGTGTTTGTAGTATTATATCCTTATCTACAGAATTTATCAATATATCTTGATCTGCAGTGAGGACCATTATTTTAAAAAATCACAGTGGGAGGTATAATCTCATTTGTAAACTACAGCAGTCTTCCCCATCTTCTTTTTTTTTTTTAATCGTGGAGAAAGTGTGGTGAGAAGAACAGAAGAGCAAGAGAACAGAGTCGCAGGAAGAACTAAACTCCCCTCTACCTTTTCTGGAATTGTTTTCCTAGGTAAGCCTGGTTAAATTTTTAATAATAATGTCATCATTAACTCTTAAAACTCCAGGTGTGTGTGTATAAATGAGGAGGAAGGTCTAGGAGAGTTTTAGAATTTAAGTTTTTGTGATCATAAGTTTTCTTGCTCATTTCAGACTATATCTTAATCCAATTTTTTAAAGAATAATGTTGATCAAGGTAATTTTGTTTAAGAAATTTGACAATATATGATACAAGCCACAACTGATGGTTCAACTCTATTCATCATCCAGGAGAAGAAATTAAATGGACATAAATCTTCTGTTCTAGGGCCTCAAGATCACAGCCATACTGCCATTACTGTCAGGTGTCATTCTTTTTTTATTGTATTTTTTTTTATTTTATTTTATGCATCTTTAGAAGGGAAGGGAAGGAGAGAAGGAGAGAAATATTAATGTATGGTTGCTTCTGGTGCATCCCCTGCTGGGAACTGGTCCCTGCTGGGAACTGGCCTGCAACCCAGGCATGTGCCCTGGCGTTTTTATTGTATTTTTAATTTATTATTTATCCCTCTTACAACCCCCTGTCCCCTGCAATCACCACACTTTTGTCCATGAGTCCTGTTTCCTTTTTGCTCAATCCTTCTACCCTCAAACCTCCATAGCTGTCAGCCTGCTCTCTATGAGTCTCTTTCTATTTTTCTTGTTAGTTCAGGTTGTTCATTAGATTCCACATATGAGGGAAATAATATGGCATTTATCTTTCTCTGACTGGCTTATTCCACTAAGCATAAGGTTCTCCAGGTCCATCCATTCTGTGGCAGAGAGCAAAATTTTCTTCTTTTTCACAGCCAAGTGGTATTCCATTGTGTAAATGTTCCACAGTTGTTTTATCCACTCATCTACTGATGGACATTTGGGCTGCTTCCATATCTTGGTGATTGCAAATAACACTGCAATGAACATGTGGGTGCTTATGTTCTTTTGAGTTAGTGTTTCAGGTTTCTTTGGAAAAATATCCAGAAGTGGGATCACTGGGTCTAAAGGCAGATCCATTTTTTTTGACATATCTCCATACTGCTTTCCACAGGGGCTGTGCCAATTTATATTCCCATTAACAGTGCAAAAGGGTTCCCATTTTTCCACATCCTTGCCAACTCTTGATATTTGTTGACTTATTGAAGATAGCCTCACACTGATCAGTGTGAGGTGGTATTTCATTGCACTTTCAATTTGCATTTCCCTGATGATTAGGGATATTGAACATCTTTTCATATGTCAATTGACCATCTGCAGGTCCTCTTTGGAGAAGTGTCTGTTTAGGTCCTTTACCCATTGTTTAATTGGATTGTTTGCTTTTATGGTGTTCAGTTTTGTATGTTCTTTATAAATTTTAGATATTAACACCTTATCAGATGTATCAGCAAATACATTCTCTCATTTTGTAGGTTGTGTTTTTATTTAGTTGGTTTCCTTTGCTGTGCAATATATTTTTAGTTTGATGTAGCCCCATTTGTTTATTTTTCTTTTGTTTCCCTTACCTAAGGAGATCTATCAAATAAAATATTGCTATAAGCAATGTCTGAGATTTTACTGCCTGTGATTTCTTACAGAATTTTTATGGTTTCTGGCCTAATATTTAAGTCTTTAATCCATTTTGAATTTATTCCTGTGAGTGGCATAATAAGGTGGTCTGGTATCATTTTCCTGCATGTATCTGTCCAATTTTCTTAACACCATTTATTGAATAAACTGTCTTTAGCCCATTGTGTGTGCTTGCTTCCTATGTCAAATATTAATTGACTGTAAAGATACAGGTTTCTTTCTGGACTCTCTACTCTGTTCCATTGCTCTCTGTGTCTATTTCTATGCCAGTACCATGCTGTTTTCATTACTATGGCCTTATAGTATAGTTTGATATTAGGTAGTATGATTCCTCCACCTTGGTTCTTTCTCAGGATCATTGTTGCTATGCAAGGCCTTTTGTGGTTCCATATAAATTTTGAAGTATTTGTTCTAGGTCTGTGAAATATGTCTTCTGTATCTTGGTACGTATTGTGTTGATTCTATGGATTGCTTTTGGCAGCATGGACATTTTAGTAATATTTACTGATGTTAATTCTTCCTATGCGTGGACAAAGTATGTGCTTCCACTTATTTGTATCTTTTTCAATTTCTTTCTTCAGTGCCTTATAATTTTCCAATTGTATGTCTTTTACATCCTTGACTGGGTTTATTCCTGGGTATTTTATTCTTTTTGGAGCAGTTATGAGTGGTATTGTTTTCTTAATTTGCCTTTCTGATAGTTCATCATTGGCATATAAAAATGGAACTGATTTCTGACTATGAATTTTGTATCCTGCTACTTTGCTGAATTCATTTATCAGTTCTAGTAGTTTCTTGGTGGCATCTTTAGGGGTCTCTATGTGCCATAGCATGTCACCTGCATAAAAAGACAGTTTTACTTCTTTCTTTCCAATTTGGATGCCTTTTATTTCTTCTTGTCTGGTTGCTATGGCTAGCACTTTCAGTATTATGTTGAATAAAAGAGGTAAAAGTGGACATCCCTATCTTGTTTCTGATCTTAAGGGGAATGCTTGTAGATTTTGCTAATGGAGTATGATGGTGACAGTGGGTTTGTCATATATGGCCTCTATTACATTAGGGTATGTTCCCTCTATTCCCATTTTGCTAAGTGTTTTTATCAGAATGGGTGCTGGATTTTATCAAATGCTTTTTCTGCATCAGTTAATATGATCATGTGGCTTAATCCTTCGTTTTGTTTATGTGGTGTATCACATTTATGGATTTGTGAATGTTGTACCAACATTGCATTTCTGGAATAAATTACACTTGATTATGGTCTATGATCTTTCTAATGTATTGCTATTTTGGTTTGCTAATATTTGTTGAGGATTTTAGCATCTGTGTTGATCAGGGATGTTGGCCTACAACTTCTCTCTTTTAATGCAGTGTCTTTATTGGTTTTGGAACTAGAATAATGCTGGACTCATAAAAGAAGCAGGGGAATCTTCACTCCTCTTGAATATTTTGGAATAATTTGAGAAGGAGTGGTGTTGGTGTTACTTGGAATGTTTGGTAAAATTCACCTGTGAAGCCATCTGGGGCTTTTGTTTTATGGGAGGGTTTTTTTTTTATTACTGCTAAATTTCACTAGATGTAATCTATTTAAATTCTTTGATTCTCCCTGATTTAGTTTTAGAAAATTGTATGTTTCTAGGAATTTATCCATTTAGTCCAGATTTTCTTATTTTTTGGCATATACTTATTCATAACATTTTCTCACAATCCTTTGTATTTCTTGATGTCAGTTGCTATTTCTCCTCTGATTTCTGGTTTTATTTATTTGGATCCTTTTTTTCTTGATGAGTCTGGTTAAAAGTTTGTCAATCTTGTTTATCTTTTCAAAGAACCAGCTGTTGGTCTCATTGACCTTTTGTACCATTTTTTATAGTATTTCACTTATTTCTGCTCTGATCTTTATTACTTCCTTCTTTCTACTCACTTTGGACTTTATTCATTTTTCTTTTTCATGGCCCTTGAGTGTGAAGTTAGACCATTTATTTGAAATTTTTCTTGTTTCATGAGATAAGCCTATAATGCTATGAATTTCCCTCTTAAGATCTCTTTCCCTGTGTCCCACAGATTTTGGGTTGTTGTGCTCTCATTTTCATTTGTTTTAAGGTATCTTGTGATTTCTTCCTTGATCTTATTGTTGATCCATTCATTGTTTAATAATATGTCATTTAGCTTCCATGTCTTTGTGTATTTTTTCAGTTTTCTTCTTGTGATTGATTTTTAGTTTCATAGCATTGTGGTCAGAGAAGATGCTTGATATGACTTCAGTCTTTTTAAATGTATTGAGACTTTTTTGTGTCTTAGCATGTGATCTATCCTAGAAAACACTTCATGTGCACTTAAAAACATGTATATTCTGCTGTTTTGGGGTGAAATATTCTATAAATATCAACTAAGCCATTTGATCCAGTGTGTTGTCATCGAAGGCTGCTGTCTCCTTGTTGATTTACTTTACTTTTAAATTTTATTTATTTGTTTGTTTGTTTATTTTTATTGTTGTTCAAGTACAGTTGTCTGCCTTTTCACCCTATCACACCCTTCACCCCAGCCAACCTTACCTCCCTCTCCTCACTCTACCCACCTTTGGCTTTGTCCCTTTGTCTTTTATAGTTGTTCCTGAAAAGCCTTCCCCTTCCCCCGCCCCATTATCCCCTTCCATCTCCCCTCTGGTTACTGTCAGTTTGTCCTTGTTGATATTCTGTCTGGAAGGTCTATCCTCTGAAGTCAATGGGATATTAAAATATCCTACTAGACACTGTTTCTGTCAATCTCTCCCTTTATGTCCACCAAGACTTGCCTTACATATTTTGGTGCTCCTATGTTGGTTGCACAAAGGTTCACTAGGGTTATAACATCTTGTTAGGTTGTTCCCTTTTTCCTTATTTAGTGTCCTTCTTTGTCTCTTACCATAGCCTTTGTTTTAAAGTCTACTTTGTTGGATATAAGTATTGCTATGCCAGCTTTTTTCTTTTCCATTTGCATGAAATATCTCTTTTCATCTTTGTACTTTTAGTCTGTGTGTATCTTTCAATCTGAGGTGGGTCTCTTGGAGACAGTATATATATGTGTCTTGTTTTCTTATCCATTCAGCTACTCTATGTCTTTTGGTTGGAGCATTTAAGCCATTTATATTTAAAGTGATTATTGGTAGGTATGTATTTATTGTCTTTTATTTTTTAACTGTTGCCATTAATATTAAGTGTCATTCTCATCAGAAGTCTTCCCAGCTTAAGTCCTCCTACTGAAGTGTTCTTTTTAAAATAGAGAATACCATATAGCAAAATAAATTCTAAATTCATTAAAAAACTTAAATTAAAGAAATAAACTCTAAAGATAAAAATTCATCAGATCTGAGGATAAGGAAGGCCATTTTTAGGACATAAGCACAAGAAGAAAATCTAAAGGAAGAAAAATGTAAATATTTCTACATATAATAAACACTGATTTTCAAAAATCATAGCAAACAAAGTAAACAGACAACAGGGAAAATATGGTATACGATTCATAGTCTTTGCCTATAAAACCAAACACTGGAAAATGAACAAAAGACATGAACAGGCATTTCAGAAAATAAGTTAAAATGCTCATTAAGCCTGAAGTAATCTTTACCTTCACTAATAAGCAAAGATATGCGCACTGAAGAAATGCAACAGTATTTTAAATCTTACATATATTGGCAAAGGTGAAAAAAAGCAATGATGCTTGGTATTATCCATGTGTAGGAAGCACTCAGCGTCCATCACTGTTGGTAGGAATAAAACTCAAATCAAGAATTCCAATGTTTTTGGAACTGGAAGGCATTATGCTGAGTGAAATAGGCCAGGCATTGAAAGACAAATACCATATGATCTCACCTTTAACAGCAAGCTAAACAACAAAACAAACAAGCAAACAGAATAAAAACAAAGACACTGAAATAGAGAACAAGTGGGCAGCAACCAGAGGGGAGAGGGAAGGAAATTTAAGGGGAAAAATGGGGAGGGATTTTGAGGAACAAGTATGAAAGGCACAGGGATGAGGACTGGCGGGGCGGGGGGGAATGGGAGGGAGGTGGGGTGACGGGACAGGGGGGCTGGGATGGGAGAAATAGACAAAAAAATGTACTTGAAAAACAACTAAATAACATTAAAAAAAAGAATTCCAATGTTTTATGCCCAGGTGGTGTGAATTTAAATTGGATAATTGCAAATGGTTTGGTGATTTGCAAAAGTTTTCAACACTTATATAAGCCTTGATATTTCTAGTACTTTGTAAAGGAAAGAAATTCTGAATGTGCAGACACAGGCTCTTGAACTGAGCCTGAGCCTGAGCCTGAGCCTGAGCCTGAGCCTGAGCCTGAGCCTGAGCCTGAGCCTGATTCATCTGAGCAGAGACAAGGAGGAATGTGGGCAATAGTGCAACAGTGGAGGTAGAGGCAGAGCAACATAGATGGCCTAGGACAGATACTGAAATGATTCACATATGCAAACAGAATATTTAAGAAATATTTGGTATATGAAATATGAAACCAACTTGAAATGGACATGCATTCAAATAGAACTAAATATGCAAAGCCAAGGAAAGGTTAAATCTGTAAAGTACATCTTTAGCAATTTGGCAAATTGATCATTTGGAGATTGGCTTTCGGCAAATTCATCACATGGTAAATGGATTTCCAGTAGCTTGGCTGCTCCCGCCTGGGCTTCCTTGAATGACCATGTAGAACAGCCAAATTGCTCTCTTTAAATACAAAAATCGGTCAAGATTCATCTCATAAGGAAGTTTGAGATTCTCATGTATTCCATATTTGGCAAGTGAAGGAAAGCCAGTTCCCCTCAATTCGCAGCATTACCTGCTGTTCCCCTGGCAACCTCAGCATGAAACACATACACACACATATACACACACATAGAGAGAGATGCTAGAATGTTGATTAGCTAATTTAGAGAGAAGTCTAAGTACTAAGAGGACTAGACAGGCATGTTTGACAGTGAGAAGTTCTCTCCTGACAGCAAACCTCTGACATACAATGTATTATGGAGTACTAGACTATTCCTGCATCATGAAGAATAACAGAATTTCACAAGAGAGCAGAAAGAGGAAGTGACAAGAAAAGCCAACAAACTCAAGAGTAGCATCATTGGTGTGTTCTGTGAGTAAACCTAATGTGGGCCATGTGCCTGTGAAATGAGGGAAAAAGGTTGTGGCGTCCAGGACAGGAACAGGTGCCTGGGTAGGAGACAGATCAAAGTGTCAGTCTTGAATTATTTTAATAATATTTACTTAGGGATTTTTCCCAGTAATAAAAGTAACATAGGACATTAGAAGATGAAATTAAACAGCCCATTGTGCCATTACTTAAAGCCGTCACTGTCAACAGCTGGAGGCATTTGTGTATGTTCAGCAGTGTTTTCTGTAGTTTTTATAACACAACTGACAACAGAATGTACATTCAGCTGATGGCCTCTTCTTTTTTCACTGCATATTTTAACACAAGAAATTTACCACATCAAGAACTCCTCACAAAAATGCTTTATAACTGCTGCTTGACATTCTTTCTGTTATTAATCAATTGAATCCATTGATAATTTATAATTTTTCTTATATACTTATTGCTCCAATAAATGTTGTTGTCTCTAAAGACTCTATTTTAGATTTCTAGGAATTTGATTACTGAGCCAAAAGTATGAACTATTTTAAGAGAAGGCTTTTTTCCTTCATCTCATAAAGCATGTTGATTTGCTCTAAGAGTTTGATTCTCTTTTGATTACTTTCCTTTAGCTTATCATTAGGGTGGCCAGTTTTGAGGTTTGTAATAGGAATCTGTCCATAAATAGATGAGCCATATGGTGTTGGAGTTGGAAACAGTTTGGACTTTGCTCATCCAGCCACTCAATTTACATGTGGGGCCACAGAGACTGAGTGAGTCTGAAGGGCTGCCCAGGGTTACCTAGGACCTGAGGGGTAGGTACTGTGGTAGAACTGGGTCTCTGGAACCCCAGACCAGGACTCTTCTTACCCTCCATTAACAGGGCATGGAAGGAAAGACAACTCCTTAGAAGGTACATTTGTGGGCCACAAGGACACCCAGCCAGAGGGGAAATGACACAGAGGTGTGAGTGTGAAAAGACTGGGTGATGATGGACTGACTCATGTGTCTGAGCCCAAGGCCCTAGATGATGCTACAGTAAGAAAGGAGAGTGGAAAGGCACAGAATAAGTCCTGCTTTCTATAGCCCTATGTTTTATTAGTTATATAATAGTTGCTAGAATTTATATAACACTTTACAGTTTGGAAAGATAATATAATGACATAGATTATCTTACTTGATCCTCACCCCTGTCCTTTACAGAAAGAAAATGAAAAGAATGTTCTCAAGACTTATCCAAGATCACACATCAAGGATGCAGAGAGGCTGGGACTCAAAACTCTAATTCCTTTCACCAGGTATACTGTTTCTCAACCCAGATGATAAGTCAATAAGCAATTTGCACACAAACTATGATATCACTGTTTTTGCAAGAAAATTTACACACCTGTGCTGTTGCTCTCTTCACAGTGTCAATCTTGAAATAGAAAGTACCATTATTCTCTGCATTAAGCTTTGTGATGGAATGTTTCAGAGGCCCCTGCAGTTGTGGGCTGTCAACAGGGATCTTACTGGGGCAGCCCAGGCAGCGTACTTCAGAATCCACCCCTGAAAGAAACAGGCTTTATGTCAGCATGTGACTGAAGGAGCAATCTAGGTCAGTACCTGTCCTCTTAAGGATCTAGCATGCATTTGCAGGGGGCCATGCAGCAGCCCAAAGCCCAGTAGCAAGTGGGTAGAAGTTGCCTTTCTCACCTTCCCCTTACTGCCCCTTCTCTTTTCCTCTCCTCAGAGTCAACTGTATTTAGGGAAACTTTTATTTGATAGGTGTTAGTTTGTGACTCAATCTACATGCTTCTATGTTTTTGCATTTTTTATAGAAAGTATAAAAGGCAATGCCACATGTAAAAGGAATGACTATCTAGTGCACACATTTTAAGTCCCTTTTAAGTCCCATGATTCTAGTGACCAGGCAGCTTCAGCAATTTTTCTCATCATGTAATTTAAGCAAATATATTCCAAGTATGAGAAAAGCCAACACTTGGTGTAAGAATACTAGCCTGACCATAAACTCTCACTATCTCCCTTTTCCTGCATCATAACATGCAGGAGGAAATTGTCTTTCATTGAAAAGATTCCATTTTGAGTGATTAAACATGAGATACTGTTTCCCCAGATTACAGAACCTGGCACGGGGACATCTTATACACAAGGAAGACCAGATGACATTGCATCAGGAGCCCAGCTTTGCCCACAGAACACGTCTTTTCTTCTGTCACCATATTCTCTTCTGGCACTTTCAGAGCAATCTCAACTGCATCCGCTACAGCACAGTTGTGCAGAGGTCTGTTGATCCTATAAACTTTGTGGCATATCATGGGACCCAAAGCACAATGTATATGAAAAGACCTAGCCAATTGTCTGGGATCAACATGTATGGTATTAGAACACAAACACATATTATCCCATACCTGAATGAAGATTGCACTTCTGTGAGAAGGAAGAAATTCTTAGCTGAAGATCCATGTATGCATGATCTGTACATTCAGCAGTATCCTAGTTGTTAATACAAATACATAAGTTTAAATCATTTTTAAGAAACTTCAAATTAAGTAATTAGTAAAAATAAATATAGGATGTCAGCTTTATGTAGAAAACAAAACAAAACGTGATTCAATTGCTAAAGAAATCATAAGAAACAATTAGGTTTTTGTATCAACAATAATAAATGCATAGACACAAACACATAGAAACGTGAAATAAGGTAACAAGAATATCTAATACAGAAATAATAATCACATAATTGAGTACATAAAATTTTTTTAAAGGTTTAGGCCTCAGATTATGTTAAAAACAGAAGTAATATACTAAATATTCAAGAATAGTATCTTGTAGAAGATAAAGGAAGATTAACATAATGGATGAGCAGACATATATGATACAAATATAAACAAAAGAAAAGCTAGAGTATTATTTATACAACATCACTAATCCCAGGTATAAGAAAGAGCATAATGAAATTAGTAAAAAAATTATTTTAATAGAAGATACAGTAAGATATGTTCTAGAAGCATGAAATCAAAATACATACAGCAAAACTTAGATATATGAATAGAGATAGATTAAAATAAGGGTGGTAGGGAAATTTAATGTACAACTATAAATCTAAGGCAGACCAAAGATATAAAAAATATATAAGGCCATAAAAGATTGATGCAACGTAATTTATTTAAGTGATATTTTCATATGATTCTTATGATTTAAATATTTTTATAAGTATGATATAGATTTTTAAAAAGAGTTTTTACATTATTTTACAAGAAAGGGTCAATAAAATTTCAAATCCAAACAATACAGGTCATGTTCTTTGATCTGAGAATTTTTTAAAATCTCTAAAAATTAATAACTTTAAATAAATACACAAAAGCTAACTACTTGGAAATCTAAACTCACCTGGCTAAGGAGTTAGGGTCTTCCTTGAATAGGGAAAAATATAAAAAATCAAAACAAGAAAACTAAAAATTTTACAAAATGTTGCCAAAAAAGCATTTAGAGTTTAAATCATCATTCTATATGCTTTCAAAATTTAAAAACAGAGAGGCTAAAATAAAATAAATCTTAATTTAATTTAAAAGAAGGGATAGGCAAAATCAAATAAAATAACCTCACATCTGGGTAATTATTTGAAGAAGTTAGAAAAAGGGGAAAAATAATAGCCGTAAGCATAGCAGAAAGGAAGAGACAATGAAGTAAAACTGATAAACTTGAAAACAGAAAGCACTGGCATTAATAAATGAATATAAATGATTGTTCTTTAGGTAAGGAAAAAGTCAAATACAAAAAGTCAGCATAGCAAAGTTTACAGAGAAGAATAACCATATAAGAGAATATTTATGAACAAGTATATGCTAATTTAAATCCCTCCAAAATGGATACTTTTCTGGAAATCTGTAAGTAACCAACACTGAATAAAAGATAGAAAAAATTCTACACCAAAACCACAAACAGTCCAATTAAGAAATAGGCAAAGGACCTGAGTAGACACTTCTCCAAAGAGGACATAGAGATGGCCAATACACATGAAAGATGCTCAGCTTCACTAATCAACAGAGAAATGCAAATTAAAACCACAATGAGATATCCCCTCATGCCTGTCAGAATGGCTATCTTCAATAAATCAACAAATATCAAGTGTTGGCAAGGATGTGAAGAAAAGAGAACCCTTGTGCACAGTTGGTGGGTATGCAGATTGGTGCAGCCACTGTGGAAAGCAGGATGGAAATACCTCAAAAAATTAAAAAATAGAACTGCATTATGACTCAGTGATTCCACTTCTGGGAATTTATTTGAAGAAACCTGAAACACTAATTAAAAAGAACATAAGCACCTATATGTTATGGAAGACCATTCTGTGGGGCATGGGAAATGTAACCCAGCTCCCACTTGGAAAGGCCAGTGGAAAGCAAGGTCTGGCACACAGGACCCATGCCCTCGGACAGGTTCTCCTATAGGCAATCAGGCCTGCATTGTACCTTGGCTCCTCTGAGACTTGCTTTTTGCTAAAAATCCCTCACCCTGAATTGAGGCAGAAAATATTTACTGTATATCTTTAAAGTAACTTCCTAAAATCTATGCTAAACCTTCCAAGGACAAGTGTAACCAGTTCAGCCACTTCTCCCTTTACATTTGCAAATATCCTTCTTTTTCGATGTAATTAGCAACATCCTCTCCTTTGTTTTCTGTAAAAGGTAACCACCTAAAGCAGACTTGTGCATAATAAATGAGGACCACCCTCAATGTAAGGTGCCCAGAAAAACAATAAAAACTTATACAGGCAAGAATCAGGGCCGGCCCTCTCTTTCACTGAGAGAGTGGCCATGTCATCCCCTTTTCTCCACAGGATTTCTGTAGTTCATGTGAATTTGTCTCATCTCATCCACAATGCCATGGACACTGCAGGCCAGTATCCACATCACTATGCTCATTGCAGTATTATTGACAATAGCCAAAATTTGGAAACAGCCCAAGTGTCCATCAATAGATGAGTGGACAAAACAGCTATAGTATATTTCACAATGGAATAGTACTCAGCCATAAAATAGAAGAAAAGTTTACCCTTAGTACAACATGTATGGACCTGTAGAATATTATGCTAAGTGAAATAAGCCAATCAAAGAAAGACAAATACAATATTATTTCACTCCTATGTGGAATCTAATGAACAAACTGAACTCACAAGCCAAATAGAGACAGACTCATAGAAACAGAGCAGGCTCACAGCTCTGGGAGGGGTTGCAAGTCAGGGTAGTGAAGGGATTGACCAAAAAAGAAAAAAGAGAGAGAGAGAACTCATAGAAGACTTCCGGTCAACATGGCAGTATAGGCAGACATAGCTCAGCTCTTCACACAACCACATCAAAATGGCAACTAAAATATAAAACAACCAACACTCAGAACCATCAGAAATTAAATTGAATAAAAGTCTGGAATCTATAGAATTAAAGAAACCACATCCATTCAGACTGGTAGGAGGGGCACAGATGTGAAATGGGCTTTATCCACACTGGTGGATAAAAATTCAAGATGGGTATCTCAGGGGCAAGGAGTCCCAGCCTCAACCAGGCCCCCCAGCTCAGGGTTCCAGTGCCAAGAAGATAAGTTCCTACAACTTCCAGCTGCAAAAATCAGTGGGGGTTGAGTTGGTGGAAGAAACCTGTGGAACCCTAAGCAGTTCCTCTTAAAGAACCCACACATGGACTCACCTACTCAGACTCACTCTCTCTGAACACCAGCACTGGGGTAGTTTGAAAAGTACCACTGGTATACAGGGAGGAACTGAAATATCTCACATCAAGGGGAGCAGAAGCCATTGTCCCTTTTCTAGACTCTTTCCCCACAGAACTGGCAAGCTGACGCCATATCTGAGACTTTATCAACTTGGCTAACATTGTTTGACCTGCCTTGGAGATTCCCAGACTCTGCCCCACCTAATTTATGGGTCCACCCAAGATGCTTCTCCATATCAAGGGTTGGTGTTGGTTCATGCTTAACAACTTCCTAAATCCTATCAAACAAGTAACAGCTGACCTCAGTGAGACCCAGGTCTGGCACTAGCACCAGCCAACCTAAACTCACAGCTTGGCTTCCCCTGGGAATCTCCAAGCCCACACACACAAGTAGTAGCCATTTCAGATTGCTTTATAGTTCAGGCAGGGTGGACCAGGGCAAAACACAGGTGGACGTTGACCTTGGCCTGCACCAGCCAGGAAACCCTAGGGCCAGTGCACCCAATAGACAACAACAGACCACATAAGAGCCCCACCACCCTGCCCTTGCACAGTTGATCCTCTACAGAGGGTAGAGGTTGGTGGTTACTGGTCACAGACAATCCTTGTAGCTGACTAGCCTGGGTAAATCCCAACCATTGGTCTGCCTACAGCAACCAAAGCTCAATTACAATAGGAGGATATACTTAGCAAAGGGCAAACCTAGAGTACCCAGCTTGGGTGATAGGGGAGGTTATGCCACTGGATCCTACAGGATACCTACTGCATTAGTCCACACAAGACACAGAGTGAAAGCAGCTCTACCTAATACATAGGAACAAACACAGGGAGGCTGCCAGAATGAGGAGACAAAGAAACATGGCCCAAATGAAAGGAGAGAACAACACTCCATAAAAATAGCTAAAAAAATGGACATAAACAATCTATCAGATGCTCAGGTCAAAACGCTGGTTATAAGGCTGCTCAAGGAACTTAGTAAGGACCTCAATAGCATAAAAAAGATCCAGTCAGAAATGAAGGATACACTCATTGAAATAAAGAACAATTTACAGGTAACAACAGTTGAGTTGACGCAGCCAAGAATCAAATCAATGATATGAAATATAAGGAAGTAAAAACAACCAATCAAAACAACAACAACAAAAAAAGAACCAAGAAAATGAGGATTGTATAAGTAATCTCTGGGATAACTTCAAGTATTCTAACATTTGCATCATAGGGGTGCCCGAAGGAGAGGAGAAAGAGCAAGGAATTGGAGATCTATTTTAAAAAATAATGAAAGAAAACTTTCTTAATTTGGTGAAGAAAAATGTTTAGGAAGCACAGAGATTCCCCCATAAGATGATGCAAAGAGGCCAAGATATATCATAATAAAAGGCCACAGATGAAAAATAAAGAGAGGATCTTAAAAGCCACAAGAGAAAACAATTTAGCTATCTATAACTTCTACCTATACCAATAAGATTGTCAGCTGGTTTCTCAAAAGAAACTTTGCAGGTTAGAAAGTTAGAAGGGATTGACAAAAAAATATTCAAAGTCCTGCAAAGCAAGGACCTACAGCCAAGATTGCTCTACCCAATAAAGCTATCATTTAGAATTGAAGGGCAGATAAAGAGCCTTCCAGACAATAAAAAACTAAAGGAGTTAATCATTACCAAGATATGAGGGGGTGTGGACGGAAGGGTGAAGAGGTAAGGGGATAAGAAGTGTAACTAGGAAGTTACAGAATAGCCATGAGGATGTGAAATACAGTACAGGAAATGCAGTAGT